CAGTTTGAGTAAAAACCAATGAATCACAAAAGTGATTAAAGCAATTAAACCGCTACATTTAAGGACATGTAAAATCCTGAGCAATTCCTCCTGCGTGCCATTGACTTAAAACGAAATAAAAAATATTTCATGTCTGATTACCAAGATTCCTCGAACACAGATCTGAAGGCCAGATAAAAGAATGCAACCATTGTATTAATCTACCGGAACTTGCGCATGCAGACATTAAAATCCGCATTTACTGGAACAAGAAAAGACGTATTTATGTAGCAATCACTGTTATTGATATTCATCGGCGGCTCTAGCTTCTCTTTAACAACAGAATGCGCGCTTTAATAGGGGATATCTCGCAACGTTGACTATTAAAGCAAGTCGCAGAGATACAATCATAAATATCTTGGAAAATATTTGTACAGTGGTTGTAAGACGTAAACTTTTATTTAGAATTTCGAGTTCAAAGTGAAAATTATGTACAATCTAGAGCAGGGGTTCCCAAACTTTTTTGTACTACGCCCCTTTTTGTTGAAATGAAAGTTTCTCGCGCCCCTCACTCCTTAACCATAAATTGTATGGGCCTAGGAACAAAACAGAAACAAATAAGTATTACATAGAAAACAAGACATTTATTTATACTGCCATAAGATACAATAATATTAGTTTTTATAAAATATAAAAATTATTAATAAAAGAAATATAGGTTGGTTAGTGAGATTAATGCTCTTCACAAATTCTGGTCCTCCAAGTCTGGGGATTTGAACGATGGGCCAGCACCCCTTCTTCTAAAAAAAAGTTATTTGCTAAAAATTTCGATCAAGAGCCTCAGAATAAGGACGGAAACAAAAGACGACGACTGCTACGAAAAAGGACTATGAGATTGGCCACATGGAATGTACAATGTCTAAGAACCAAGGAAACTGAAGTTTTTCAAGAATTAGAACGACAACAAATAGACATATGCGTTCTTACAGAAACAAAAAAGAAAGGAAAGGGAAATGAAATCAAGAACGACTATATTCATTTATACAGTGGAGTTGAAAAATCATTAAGAGCAAAAAGAGGTGTGTCTATAGCCGTGCATACAAAACTCAAAAACAATATCAAGAGTTGGGAAGAGATAGACGAGCAGATCATTATGATGGATCTTGAGAAACATGGGGAGACGATAGTTATAATAGGAGTATATGCTCCTAGTGACGATTCTGATACAAAAGTTAAGGATGAATTCTATGACAAATTGCTTGACGTGTTGACCCATGTAAACCGATCCAAAGAAATATGCCTATTAGGAGATTTCAATGCTCGGGTAGGCAAAAAATTACAAGACAATGTGGTAGGAAGATATGGTGAAGACAAAATAAACAACAACGGAGAGCGACTCATTGATCTTTGTGAAACATTACAGCTTAAAATAATGAATGGATTTTATCAGCACAAAGATATACATAAATTTACCTGGGAACAACCAAAGAAAAAGATAAAATCTATAATCGACTATCTCATTCAACCAGAAAACAAAAGGCTCCAAACAAATGACGTAAGGGTGTATCGTGGTGCCGAATGCGGATCTGACCACTATATGGTGGTCGCAAAAATAACCATACACTACAGGAAAGTAAACAAGAACAAAATTGAACAGGAGAAGGTAGCAGCTTCCACAAAGATAAGATATAATATTGATAGCCTAAAACAAGAATCAGTACAATTCCTCTACAAACTTAGACTAGCCTCAAAACTAACTCACTTAACTCGAAGAGAAACAGCCGAAAAAGAATATCAAGATATAAAAAATTGCATTCATCAGGCGGCCAAAGAGGCATTGGGGTACGAAGAAGCTGACAAAAGAAAAAATCCTGAGTGGTGGAACGAAGAAGTAGGAAAATTAATTAAAGACAAAAAAAAGCTTATCAAACATGGCTATCCACGAAAGACTCAGAAGACCGTAGAATTTACAGCAGACTCAACAGGGAAGCAAAGAAGGAAGTCGCTAAAAGAAAAAACGAAATGTGGGAAGAGAAATGCGAAGAGATGGACCGATGCTTAGGAGGAACCAAAGTGACACAAGCTTGGAAATTCATAAAAAGTATTAGAAAAGAAAAAAAAGATGAGGAAATATAAACCTGATTCAAAATAAAAAGTGGGAAAAATATTACGAAACGCTATTAACAGAAAGTAGGCACGAATTTATGGAAAGACCTGACCATATCTCAATGACAGAAAACTCAGAGGTGCATAAGATAAACAAAGAAGAACTGAAAAAAGAATTGAAACAAATGAAAAATGCAAAAAACACCCGGGCCTGGAGACATTCCCATCGAGTTGGTGAAACATGGACCGGATGCTCTTTTGGAAAGCTTAGTGAATATTTTTAATAAATGCTTAATTGAAGGCCAAACGATTCCAGACGATTGGAATTTGGCCCACATTAGCCCCATTTATATAAAGGGAGACAGAAAAGAGTGCGGAAATTATAGAGGCATTAGCGTAACTAGCTCGCTGGGAAGGTTATATGGCCGTATATTGGAAAGAAGATCGTGCGTGGACAACACATTTACCCTTCAACAAGTAATTGAAAAACGAACAGCTCGAAACCTCCCTACGCATCTGGTATTTATAGATCTGGAGAAGGCTTATGATACAGTTCCTTTAAAACTCTTATTTAGTGTCTTGACGAAAACGGACCTTAGTAAAACATATCTAAAAGCAATACTGAACATCTATAAATGTCCTCAAAGCACTGTAAAAACAGGAAATACTTTCTCAAGGGTATTTACAGTAACGAAAGGCTTGAGACAAGGATGTTGTCTTTCCCCTACCCTATTCAAAATATATATCCAAGAAGCACTGCACCAGTGGAGACAAAAATGTGCGGGAATGGGGTTGAAGCTTAACAACCATTATCTGACAACGCTGTTCTTTGCAGATGATCAAGTACTAATTGCAAGCTGTGAAGAAGATGCAGATTATATGCTTAGAAAGCTCAAAGATGAATACGAAAAATGGGGATGAGTATGAATATGTCAAAAACAGAATATATGCGAATAGGCAGTGAAGACGAAGACCCGGATTTGGAAATTAGACAAATAAAAAGGTGCTACGAATACAAATATTTGGGAAGTATTATCTGCAGTAAAGGAACAACGGAACGAGATATAGACTATAGAGTGCAACAAGGCAGGAAGAGTGTTCAAATTCTGAATTCGATACTTTGGTCCAACAAAGCTACTATGAGAACTAAAATGACTATCTACAAAGTAATTGTAGAGCCCATTCTTACATATGGAGCAGAATGTTGGCAAATGACAGTAAAAGGAAAGAAAAAAGTTGACACGGTTGAAATGGACTACCTGAGAAGAGCTTGCCGTATATCAAGAGTAGAACGTATACCTAATTCTGAAATTAGAAGAAAAACAGATAGAGTACATACAACTTCTGAAAGAATAGAAACTAGACAGTTAATATGGTATGGACACGTACAGAGGATGGACGACAACAGATGGCCAAAAAGAGCTATGGAATACAATCCAAGTAATAGAAGGAAACGAGGAAGACCAGCCAAGTCTTGGATACAAGGTGTTATGGAAACCATGAAAGACAGAGCCATTGATGAAGACACCTGGAGAGATAGAAAAAGATGGCGATCGAAATGCGGGAAGCGGCAGAAGCTGTAGGATCCCCACTTGGAATTGGTCAGTTAACATTCTAAAAATACTATCATCAGTGTTTTTTTTAAAGTATTTCTGAAACTTTTCAATTAGACAAATTTTGTTTAATTTACTGTTTATATTTTGAAAACGATTTCCGAAGTGGAAATTGAAACGTCAATAAACGTATTTTTATCTTTAATTGTGGCTTATTCCCATTTAAATAGTAATTAAAGATGTTATTATTGATGACATTATTTTTACCCATACAAATAAACCCATATTTGATATAATCATCATTATACATACATTTCTTTGCTGAGATCATCTTGACTGTAATAACTTCTCTCACTCAAATAAACGAAGTCAATGTAGGGTGAGAAGGAATAAATTTTGCACAAAACTCTTTGTGCAAAGTAAATTGCAAACTAAACCAAAACTAAATTGCAACTTCACATCCTCTCCCTCTAAAGTGAACTAAAAGTTAAGAAACCTAGATTGGTAACTTTCCTAAAATATAAATTAGAATTTTGATTATAGAGGGCAAAATAAAAGGTAAAAGAGATGTAGGAAGAAGACGAACCTCCTGGCTACGAAATCTAAGGGAATGGTTTAGTCTGAGCTCTAGCCAACTATTTAGAGCTGCTGTAAGTAAAGTAAGAATTGCCATGTTGATATCCAACCTTCGTTAGAAGATGGAACCTTAAGAAGAAGAAATTAGAAAAAACGAGTGAATTCTACTAAAAGAATATAAAGTGAAACTCATCCTCGCCCACCGCAGAAAAGGTGATCCAACAATATCAGTTGAGGCTAAAAACTAAAGTAAAACAGGCATGAGCCTTTCAATAAAGCAGAAGGATGACGAAAATTATAGACATCTAAAGTATAAAACAAAATTCATTTGTGTTTCTAAGCATCATAAATATGTCAAACGGATTCTCTAACAGGACATGATTTCCTATACGGTTGAATTAAATAACGACCTTCTTATACGTGTTTGCCAATTAGCAACATTAGCAGATTCGTAATGGTGTAATAATATTTGACCGTGTCATTAACGCATATGATTCACATAGAGGTTACAGCTTGTTTTATCCATACACGATATATTCCAATAGCATTTTGTTGTATTATAATTAATAAACTGACGATAAAATTGCATAAATAGTCTACGTATCACAAAAATAGATCAAAAAATGCGTAAAAATATGAAAGAAAAGTGTTAATACAAATTTTTGGCTCATTGCTTTTTAGAAAGATTAGAAAGAAAAAAATTGCTTAAAATTTGACATTTTGTAGCAAATTTAATTATAAATAATTATTTGTATAAATAATTTCAGGTCCGAGATAACACAGACCATAATGCGTAGCCGCACCCCCTCCCAAGGAGGGGGATCGCAAGGATTCGAAATGGAGAGGAAATACTCAGTACCGTCAAACCCGGAATCCAGAGCTTTTTCGGGAGGAACCACCAGCGAAGATCTGCACGCTTGGTCCATATATAGGTAAGCATTTTATTAAAAAACATATCAAGTATAAAAATGATTTTTTATACACTCCGAAAAAATTTAGGTCAAATTCAAAGTATTTAACTTTTTTATTTTTGGCCCTATTTTGATGATTTTTTAGCACGCTGTATAGATTTATAAATTTTAATTTGGTATAATCAGTTTTTTGTAATAAGCGAAAGGATTAAATCTGCTATACTAGATTTCAAAGCAATTAATGATAGAGTCTGTAGCATAAGAATAAAGGGCAAATGGTTCAATCTATCGATATTCTCAGTGTATGCACCAACCGAAGAAGCAGCAGAGAAAGAGAAGGAAGAATTCTATGACTCCCTAACCCGATTATACACGGAAGCCCCAAAACATAACATCAAAATAATATTAGGGGACTTAAACGCAAAAAGAGGCAAAGAATAACACATAAGGCTGGTAGCTGGAAATCAGAGTCTACATGACATTACCAATGACAATGGTTCAAGGCTGATTGAGTTTGCAGCAGGGTGCAACATGATTATCAAAAGCACTCAATTTGCCAGGAAAAACATATATAAGGTAACATGGAGATCAAATGATGGAAGAACGAGGAACCAAATTGATCACGTATTAATTGATGGGAGGCATTCCAGTAGTATAATAGACGTAAGAACTAGACGGGGACCAGATAGTGATACAGACTATTTCCTAGTAAAGGCCAAGCTCAGAACTAGAATCTCAACACAAACAACAGACAAACAGATGAAGATCGAAAGATGGAATGTGTCTAAATTGGAAGAAGAAGAGGAAAAGGGACAATACCAACTAGAATTGAGAAACAGATTCCAGGTGTTGGAAACGAAAGAAAATGAAAGAGAAAATATAGACCAGAAATGGCACTCCATTAAAACGATCATTACAGAAACAGCAGAGAAGTGTATAGGTCGGAAGAGAAAAGCAAAAAAAAAATGGTTCGATGAAGAATGCGAGGATACCTTAAAAGAAACAAACAAAAGAAGAATCGACTACCTAGCAAACCCGACGGATGAAAAGCGTGAACAATACAATAGAGAGAGAGCCTTAGCCAGAAGAACAGTAAGGAGAAAAAAGAGACAACATTTACAACAACAAATTGAAAAAGTAGAACGTGAACACAGAAGCAAGCAAAATAAAAAATTCTACAAAGAAGTAAGACAACATAAGAAAGGTGCATATATAAGAACACCGAACTTTGTGAGAGATAAAAATGAGCAAATGATTACAGCTAAAAATAAAATAATCGAAAGATGGGCTGAATACTTTGAAAGTCTTCTAAATGTCCAGGTAGACGCGGATGGAAATAAAGCAAATTGTAAGTAACAAACAGCCGAGATAGAAGTACCCCCGCCAAGCCTGGAAGAAATTATCACGGCGATAAAAACCCTAAAAAATGACAAATCCCCAGGACTAGACAATATTGATGCAGAACTGATTAAAAAAGGAGGGCATGAACTTAGAACTAAAATACACCAATTAATGAAAGAAGCCTGGGAACAAGAAATAATGCCAAAAGAATGGAGTGGCTGTATTATCGTGCCAATACATAAAAAAGGCAGAAAGGATACATGTGGCAACTACAGGGGAATCTCACTAATCGGTACTACATATAAGATATTAGCTTCAGTTGTACTAAAACGATTACTGCCATATACAGAGGAAATTATTGGCGATTACCAATGCGGCTTTAGGCCTGGAAGATCAACAATCGACCAAATATTTACTATCAGACAAATGCTAGAAAAGTATTGGGAATATAATAAAGAAGTACACCAGATCTTCATAGATTTCAAACAAGCATATGATTGCACAGATCGCTTAAAACTGTAGAGTGCAATGATGGAGTTAGGCGTACCAAAGAAGCTGATCATGATTGCGCGAATGTGTGTCAACAATTCCTTTGCACAAATTAGAATAGGAGGCAAAACTTCAAAGGCTTTTGGCATAAGCACCGGGCTTAGACAAGGAAACCCGCTGTCCCCATTACTATTTAACCTAGCATTGGAATACGCAATGCGAAAAATCTACGTACCAAAGAAGCTGACCATGATTGCGCGAATGTGTGTCAACAATTTCTTTGCACAAATTAGAGTAGGAGGCAAAACTTCAAAGGCTTTTGGCATAAGCACCGGGCTTAGACAAGGAAACCCGCTGTCCCCATTACTATTTAACCTAGCATTGGAATACGCAATGCGAAAAATCTATACCAGAGTCAAACCAGACATAACTGCCAGAGGAGCAAAGATTATTCTCGCATTTGCAGATGATGTAGATGCAGTAGCACAGACACACTGGAAGTTAAGGATATAGTATCGAACTTTGAAGAAGCAACACTAAGCGTAGGCCTGAAAATAAACCAAGAAAAAACTAAATACATGGTCGTATCAAAAAAGGAACGACAGCGAATAAGACAAAACATTACCATAAACGATCATAATTTTGAGGTGGTCAAAGAATTCAAATACCTAGGAGCAACAATTACCAGTGAAAACACAGGAGAACGGGAGGTTGAAATACGAATACTGGCGGGGAATAAATCATTCTTTGCCATTCAACATCTAATGAGGTCAAAGCTTCTCTCAAGGCGTGCCAAAATCCAAATGTACAAAACCATAATACGACCAGCAGTGACATATGGAAGTGAAACATGGACATTGAGAAAGAAAGAAATCAATAAGCTATTAGTATGGGAACGCAAAATCCTGCGAATTATATATGGTCCTTGCAGGGACAGCGTGACAAATGAATGGAGGAGCAGATACAACAATGAAATAGAGACTCTCTTCGGGAAAGGAAACATCGTAAGATACATAAAAGCCAATAGATTAAGATGGGCAGGCCACGTGGTACGGAGTGATGACGACAGACTGATTAGCAATGTGTTTTGGGAAAGACCAGATGGTAAAAGATCGACAGGAAGGCCTAGAAAAAGGTGGAAAGACGCAGTCAGGGAAGACCTGGAGAAGATGGAAGTAAGGCCATGGGAAATAATAGCACAGGATCGGAATCAATGGAATGGCAATAGTAAACGCGGCAAAAACTCACGAAGAGTTGTAAAAGCCAATGATGATGATAGTCAGTTTTTTGATAAAATTTTATATTTGACTAATTTTACGGGGTTAATTAAAACGTGGTTTTATTATCCTAACTTTGAAATATCCTGTGGAGTAATTCAGATTACGAATTTTCGTAAAACCTTATTTTTCGGTTGAAACCGTGTCTCCTAAGCATTGTGTCATTTGTTTCATGTCAAAATATACTTTGTTCATTCTTTAGAGCCAAATGAATTTGCCACCCACAATTTAGGACTTATTAAATTATGATTATTTTGAAGGTATTTTGTAATATGACGAGGTGGCTTTGTGGTGACTATTATCATTATGTCATATTGACACACTAACATTTTGATTGTGCGAAAGCCGTTGCTCTGGTTGAAGATGGGCAAAATTATAAATATGTGGCTATAGTACTACACACTCATCGCTCTATCATCCAGAGGGTTTTATACGAGTCAACACACGGGATCGTTGTTTAACAGCAGTGTAAACTAGAAATCAGCTTCAAGAGATTCGGGGCATTAATTTCAGTGTATTTACAGTTCGTCGAAAATTACATGAATTTGGTTTGCAAAGTTGCAGACCAGCAACTGGGCCCAAATTATTTCTCGGCAGAGAGTGGCTAGACGACAATTTTCCAGGGAACATTTACATTGGAATTTAGGACAATGGAGTAATGTTCTTTTTACGAATGAGTCGGGATACTGTCTTCACTCATCAAATGAGAGAGAACGAATATGGCGTCGAACTGGAGAGATATTTGAGGAATGCGCTTTCAGTCCTCGCGTTAGCCACGGAGGGGTTGGGTGATTGTATGGGCAGAAACATCCCGAGAGGCGCACACTGAACTGGTATTTATTGAGGGCTCGTTGATTGCACAACAGTATATTAAGGAAATTTTAGCTAATCACGTAGTACCCTTTTCTCAATAGATCGGCGATGATTTTCTATTAATGCACGATAATAGGCAGCCCTACAAGCACTATTTGGAGGAGGTTAGTATTAATAAAATAAACTGGCCAGCGTGTTCGCCAGATCTGAACCCAATAGAGCACGTTTGGGGCAAGCTTGGTAGAAATATTAGAGGTCGCGAGTCGCACCAGACTTAAGGAACTTGGCTTGGCTGAAGCGAATAAATGGCAAAACATCCAGCAAGATGATATTCGCAACCTTATAGAGAGAAGTACAGGCAGTTGTAAGGAAAGGCAATACAAAGAAATCAGTTATTTTTTTATTACAAAATAAAAGAGGTTAAATAACCTCTTTTTTTACCTCAAGAGGAACCATTTGTAAATGGGTATATTTAAAAAACCCTTAAAAGGGCTACATCAAATTAATACGAACGTTTTCGGAATAATAATTCCATCATCAGGTTAAAAATGCAGGTTACTATGCCTGAGCCACCAAAATATTAGGGTGAAAACCCTTTAAAATACATAAGGTTACCAAAGATTGTACATATTGTTGTTAATTATATTTGATGTTTAATATTTAATTATATTTTACTTTAGGTAACATACACCTATGCTTTAAGTGAGTTCCAGCGTCCCTGGAATGATAAAATGATACAAAAAATATTGGATAAGGGACTGTAACCTATATAATAGAGAAAAGAAAAAATTCAAGAATTAGATTGTAAGAAAAACATCCACAGAATTTTAGAGTAAAAAACTGGACTTGTACCAGATGGAGAAAAGATGTACAACAAGACTTGAGCCAGTAAAACTGTTGCAATATTATTATTTGTAAATCTTCTTCTTCTTTTTCTTCTTCTTCTTTTGATATAGACCTTGTCTATGTCTATGTCCTTGTCTATGTCTCTGTCTGTTTTCAATGTGCCTTCAGTAAGTTGACCTTGCATCGTTTTCGTGGTCTTCCTACTAATCGTATTCCTACTCGAGAACCAACTCTTGCCGTTTTTACTATTCTATT